CATAAACCGAATTACGAATTCTTGGAATGAGTGGCTCTTGGCTAACATCGAGAACACGGCACGCTCACAGTAAGCGTAGCATAGCTTCAATCAGGTATGTTGCGCCCAAGCCCTAGCCACCCTTGATGTGGACCATGACTGGCTTTTCAGGTGATGCCGAATTCCCGGTTAGACAGACAGACAGGTAGGCAGGCAGAGAAAGAGGCAGACAGACGAAGCCGTTTCTATACAACAGGATAGGATAGTTGAGCGAGGGTGTCCAGCTCCATCCCCCCACTCTGACATGATTGACGGCAAAAGCTTGAGAAAACATAGTGAGGTGGCAACTATGAGGGGGTTGTGCTGAAGGATAAATTCGGGAAAGTTGCGGAGGGGGGGGGGTGATGAGCAAAAATTCCTCCAACGCAAAGGTGTGTCATGAGCGTAGTCCAACCGCACAAGTGCGAGGAGCATCTACGGTCAGTTTCGATGGTTATCATTTCCCACTACATCACTGTAGAACCTTTGAAATAGGCATACATATAGAGCCTCATAGGCTTACTTGGTCAAAGTAAGAGTGGAGAGTCAAAATCAGCAATCTACCATAGGCTCGCATCAAGAGTAGTGAGTAGCTCGCAAATATGCAGAATATGAGCGACGTATGTGCGAGGCACATGTGGTTGAAACGCTCCTAATCACTGAATTGCAAGTACTTGCCACCGACATTGAAATTCGGACATTCGAACGTAATAATGCGACGTGGTAGCACTTAGTAAAATTCCGTAGGAGTGAGGGCGTAGGTCATACCACCTGCAAAAGGTAGTCAGTGCTTCGTGCTATCCGGCCACCATAGATATAACATCGTAGAGCGCCCGCGCTGCTCTGTTGTCGCAGCAAAAATAGGAAGGACGGTCGTGTTTAGAAAAACCAAAGGGAATCTAGCGCAGGTGGCTTGGTGGGAGAGGGGCACCAAATGGTACTCCAAACTTCCACGGGTCACCTTGTGAAGACCTGCAGATCTTTGCAATCAAAGTGACTCACTTGTACCATTTCACTGAATCACAGGAATTATTTCATCTTCGAAAGGGGATCCGATTGTTAAAGGCACAAGCGAAAGAAACGAGCGCTAGCGGAATGTTCCCCATCCCAAACCGAACAGCGCCGTAAATTCTGAAAGTAACAAATAAAACCAAGCATTTATGAGCATCCATGGTCGACTTTCGATGAATCTTGGCATCGTGTGAGGTCCTTTCTGATTAGATGTTCAAACCATAGCCAAGATATTAACAACAACTTCACTTGGCTTGCGTTTCGGCCTTGTCGTCATCGTCGGAGCCTGGAAAGTCAAGGATAAGGTGACCTACCGCCGAATGCATAGTCACGGACCCACTCCTGCGACTCGAAAACGGTCGACAGGCAAGGGCGGAGTCAACAATGATAAGTTGACTCCGCTTGTCGTATCAATCACACCTCGATTGGTTTTCCATTATCAATCCTTGCTGACACTGATAATCGCTAAAGTTCTAGCGTTCGTTTCGTACACTGATAGACAGATATCCATGCAGTGGAGTGCTCACCGGACGGTGGGGCGTTCCCTACGACCACGCCGGCTCCGCTGATGGCGTGGCGATGGAAAGCCGCGAAATTTCAGGAAATTATCAGCATTGCCCCTCCGTCTCTGACACTGACTCTGCGCTCTAACACACCCAACCGCGCCCTCTACTCACTCTTCCGTCCTGCACTCTCCCGTTCGATAATGGCTGACGCTGTCCATCAGCTGATTCCCGACGCATTTCCACCGAATTCCTGCCATATTCTGCTAAAAAAAAAGCTGCGAATTTCTGACTTTCGGCTTCAACCGTTAAAGGTGAGTATTTTTACTAAAATTGTATCACAATTTGCATGAATTTAGCTTGAAATTCCCCTAGAAACACTTTTTTTCTTTTGATTTTTGCAATTCGTCCAAAGTTTTCCTTATCGTCCCCAGTTTTTTTTTGTCATTGACCGGCTTTCTCGAAGTGTATGTCTCAGATGTGATCTCGTTATTATCGAAAACCATCTTTGACTCTGTTTTGAAGCTCGGAGTCGCCTTAATGGTCCCCTTTCCCCAAATCTCCTGAAATTTGTGAGTCTCTGCTGCTATTTTTTGTTTCTCTTCCTTTTGGATTCTGTCCTCGAATCTGCGTCTTGTCTCATTGTCTAATAGTGAACCGCTTTTTTGGTAATGTTGGAGTAAATTATGTAGCAAGTGTGCGCTCTCCGAGCTTCAAAACAGAGTCAAAGATGGTTCTCGATAATAACGAGATCACATCTGAGACTCTACTTCGAAAAGCCGGTCAATAACATAAAAAAAAACTGGAGACGATAAGAAAAAGTTTGAACGAATTGCAAAAATCAAGAAGAAAAAATGTTTTCTAAGGGAATTTCAAATTCGTGCAAATTGTGGATACAATTTTAGTAAAAATACTCACCTTTGAGGGTTAAAGCCGACAGTCGAAAATTGGAGCTTTTTTTAGCTGAATGTAGAAAAAATCTAAGTGCCGTAAAATCAGCTGCTGGAGCAATTATCGATCGGCCAGAGCCCAGAGCAGGAGAGTGGGCAGACTGTGCGGCGGCGCGCATTAGAGCGCAAAGTCAGTGTCAGAGACGCAGGGGCAGTCTATTGCCGCTTTCGACCAGCAGGCACATATCGGGCCGCCAGCCAGCGTGGCCTTAGGACCGCCCCACCGTCCGCAGAGAACTGCACTGTAGATAGATTAGATTAATTAGATTAGATAAGATAAACTAGGTAGTGACCTCACGGAAATTAGCCGCAACAAGGCAGCGACGGGTTTCGGAGAGCTCAGCCAAAACCTGTGAAGCTCGTCCAGATGTATCCTTTCGAACCGGGTCTTATTCTATGTTCTTGCGGCGCTTTTTGTTTACTTTTTTCGACTAATGCTTTAGTTGCCACATTTTCTAACAATTCTGAGCCCTACAGCCTGCCAAAACAGTCGCGGGCGCTGTCTTCAAGGAGAAGAGAAGGCGCGGCCGCACGAGTACTCACTTGTTGATATCAGCTGTTTTGCCTTATTTTCTCACTCTCACCATTCGTGGTGGGAAGACATAGTAGCGGAACAATCGCACTATCAGACAACCATTATAAATGAAGTTGGGCGTAGTGGTCGCCAGAAGGGGAGGTGGCCGTCTCTTCACGAGCGGGCGCCGATATTCTCTCACATTTTTGAGTTGAGAAATTAGTGCGGCCGCCATCCTCATAGCGCGAGCTACGATATCCAAAGAGGGCGTGAGAACAACAAATGAACGCGGGCGCTGCCTTTAGTCTAGCCGAAAAAAATCAAACTCGATTAAACAGCGAAGCTAGTTTCGCGTCGGATTCGGCGAGCTCACCTAGACGCGACACCCTAGCTCGCGTGTCTCAGCAGTCCCTATGAAGGACCTATTTCTGGATCCCCATAGGGACTGCTGAAACCCGAGATCCATGGTGTCGTGCAACCTTCGTGGCCTTTTACAATTGTTCCGATCCCACGGCTTGACAGCCGCAATAGCCTTCGTGATAGAGTTCACTTTGAACAGCCCGCATCCACAATGACAAAAACCAACAACAGAGAGTTGAGCCTGGGTCTGCAGCTTGGGAGGTACAGCGATCACGCTACACCATTGGTGCCCACGATATACGCATCGCATGCGGTCGTCATGAGCCTTTGTGATTCCCCTCTGCCACACAGCTCGGCCTTTCCAGCACTTTTATTGACAACTTGCAACCAGAGATAGAGGAGATAGCCCTGATTCGCAGAGGCGAAAGATCTGCATCAACCGATAGTTGAACCCACGTCTGTACCGTGGGAGGGTACCATGACACCGACCATTGTTGGCCCCGGTATACTCATCACATACGGGCGTCATGAGCTTTTTAGATTCCCTCTGCCGCAGAGCTCTGCCTTCCCAGTGTTTTTCTCGGCATTTTGCAGACCAGAGATAGGCATGTAAGATTTCCTTCAAAGATGTAGCTCTCCCCGGCAAAACAAAAGATTTGCATCAACGAGTCTGCACATACTGCTACACCAATGGTACCCATGATGTGTTCATCGCATGCCGGGGGCTTTTAGATTCCCTTCCGCAGCATAATGGCACCAAAACACCTCTAATAAGTAATTTCGTAGGGAACCTGCTACCCGTGGTAGTTTGGCCCCTTCAATGCCAGCCCTACAGTTGCCAAGCACGGAAGCGCCTGGCGCATGCAATAATTGGTCATCATTTTAGGTGCTATTTGAACTGCACTACAACACAGGTTACTACCGCGGCCTTCCCCCCCCCCTCCCCCCCTCCCCATCCATCTGTCCAAGTTGCTCTTCAGGGAAAGGAGTTTCTGGACAAACAAATAAGCAGAATAGGCAAACCACACATAGCAGTGGCACGTCTCTTCTTCTATTGCTTGTGCTTCTGTTTGTTCTCACCCTTGCCAAGTCTTTACACACCTTATACCTGAGAGGAGTGGGTGTTTTATTTGAACATGGCACAGAATGGGTTACTCGTGGCATATTTCAGTTTGAGACAAACATCGTCTGTTCAGTGTTCAACAGAGAAATAACCACGATTGTGTCAAAATGAGAATATCCCACCAAAAGTAAAGCTACCGCCACGTTAATTAAACTATGCAGCTACGCCCTACCACATCTCAAGAATTTCTAGAGTATGCAACTCCACTTCATTAGAAAATGAGACGAGCCTTAATTCGAGGTATTTCTTTTTCTTGCTTGTGATTCACTTGGTAATTACAGTTTTCACAGTAATCTCCCACAACTTGGGCTTCAAACGTTGTGTTTTTCTGAGGTTTATCTGAAACACTCATAATTATACGACAGTTCCTTAAACAAAACATAAAAGTGAGAAAATGTGCAGAATAGGAACCAAATGACTTTTCTTCATGTTTTTATATGAAATAAGCAACACAAAGCACATGCACATAATTTTGGAATGATTCAGCCATTTGCATGGGAAACAGGAAATGATGTCTGTCGTTATGCCGCAAGGTCCTGCTTCTTGATCAGTTGGTAGTAGCGCCCACGGCGGTACATCAGCTGGGAATGTGTGCCAGATTCTCGTACTTTGCCATTCTCGATATATACAATTAAGTCGGCGTTTTGAATTGAAGACAGTCTATGAGCAATCGTGATGCAGGTGCGACCTTCCCGGGCCATGTCGAGGGCCTCTTGAACTGCCTTAAATAGAGACAAAGCAAGCATGACATCATCCAGAAAAATCTTGCAGAACTCTAGCTTTATCACTAGCCTGGAGAAACTTAACACTCCATCTACCGAAGAAGGGGAAAGCGAACTTCTGCTCTTCCATGAGATGCCCCACTTTTAGGATATTCCCTCATATGTGGTAGGATGAAACAACTGCCATCAGGCCAGAAACTATCAAAAGCTGTTGAGGTTTGTTTGATTCCCTAAACATGATTACCACCGGACCAGTTACCAGTTTGTCACCGGACCGGCTGGGAAGACGCCAGACACCGGGAGACAGACGGTTACAGATCCGAAACCAAGTGAATTTCTGATCTGAATGCACATCTGAAAACATCTGAGTCTCCAATCAAAATCTATCATCTGAATCCTGAATGGATCTGAAATCTGAAAACAGGTCTGATATTCAGCCTCAACATGGGCAGTTCACTATCTCTTAGGAAAAGGGCGGTGCAGTGGAGCGAAGACAGGGCCGTCGCGTGTCTCTGTCAACCTTAAGGGGGACGAACTACGTCTGTGGACGCGTTCCCAGCAAAATGGTTCAAGGTATACTGGCGCCACTGTTCTCGCTTTTGCGAGCTGAGCTGATCGCGGACATCCGACTGCAGGTGGCAGACCTCCATGGAGCGCCGGCCTACGAATACCTGTGTCACATCACATGTTTAATGATGCCTCATAAAGTTCGAGATAATGCTACGGCGTCCGCTGGGGCGACGCGCACCCGACGAGTGTGAAAAATATGCGAGCGCCTCGTTGCAATGACGACATCGGGGGACAACCAGGTTAGTCCGAAAGACGTGCAACGTGCTGAAGGCTCGTGTTGCGACGCTGAATATTGGGACGCTAACTGGACGCTCGTCTGACAATGAGTAGCAGAAGCACGAGAGCGTTGAGAGATCAACCTCTGTGCCGTACAAGGGATGAGATGGGCGAGTCGCAAGTCAAAGATTGGCTGCGGCTCAGAAGCCGTTCTTTTTGGCGGACAGAAAACTACAAGTGGTGTGGCCGTAATCATGTGTCAGCGGTTTCGTGATTTGACTGCCAGCGTAATTCGCTTTGACGACAGTTTAATGAAGAATGTCGTCGCTACTGAGCAACGACTGTACCACTTCTTTGCATATGCCCCACAAACTGGATGCTCTAAGCGATCCAAGGACGAGTTCTGGGCTCTGCTGAATGAGGAGACGGCTGAAGCGATACCGGAAGACGGTATTACTGTCGCCGGCGACTTAAGCGGACAAAGCGGACACGTGGGCGCTGCACAAGACGGCTACGCTTGTCCTGGCGGATTCGGTTACGGTTCACGAAACGCCGATGGTGAACGACCTTGAGTATGCAGACTCGCATAACTTCGTCATTCTGAACACAAAGTTTCGTACGTGACCCCCACCACGCTTTATAGCAGGAGTACCAAGACACGAACAGACGTTGTGCCCATCAAGCATGGCGACCAAGGGCTCGTGACAGGCGCTGAGGTAATACCATGTGAAACAGTCATCAGCACCGCACCCTCTACAATCTACACGCTCAGACTTGTAGCTCCCAGACCGAAGCAGGCAGAAGGATGCTGTTTTGAAAGAATCAAGTGGTGGCTACTGAAGGGAAGCACCGGTGATTTCTAGTATTCAACTAACTAAGGTCGCAACTGTTGACAAGACCAGGAACAAAGTCGGCAGTTACAGTTCTCATCATTGCGGACCGGTGGGGCATGTCAGCCAGAAGGAGTGCGCACACTGTTGGAGCCGTTCTGAGCCTTTTTTGTTGCAGCGCGTATGCGACCAAAAGTGGTAGACGAGTAATACGAAGGATATAATACAGTTATGCACATGCCCGCTTCAAAAAGTGGTGCAGAACAACTTTGCCAAACCGCACCTAACGCAGCCGCACTGCCACTCCCCACCGGTCCGCAATGATGAGGACTGTATATAATCCAGGCCGCCCGTTCCGAACTCGGCACACGAAGCTCGGACGGCGGAGGATTGACAAAGATGGCTCTGGTCGGATAACGTCAAAGCGAGGGTTCGAGAAAAGAAGAGGCTCTATTACGCGTTTCTCGAGTAGAAATCGGCTGCCAGCATACCTGGAACAAGGATTGCTGCAAAGAAGGCAGTGGCTGCTGTGATGGCCGCTTACTTGGACGATATCAGCAAGGAGTTGAGGACGCGACGGTGAGCGGTACCTGTACGGATTTACCAAAACTCGCCATCGCCAAACCGAAGACGTTGAGAAGTTTTTTTTTGGCATAAATGATGAGAATGGCCATCTTCTGATGGAACGAAAAAGGGTGGTGCAACGATGGCGCGAATACTTCGAGGACATCTTAACGGTGGAATTCGCCCATCCATCCATCTATACCCTGTACCGCACCAATATATGGTCCCGTTCAGAAAATCACCCTACAGGAAACAGAAGCTGTACTGAGGAAGATGAAGGCTGGCAAACTAATAGGTCCCGACGAGCTAGGGAAGTCACAACGTTGGTTTTCTGCAGACTGTTTGACGAAGCTCTTCAATTAGATCATCGAAGACGAGAAGGTACCCATGGACTGGCAGCAGAGCGTGACGATCCCGATTTGGAAGAAGAAGGGCAGAACGGCAGATTGCTCGAACTGCCGTCCAATTCGCCTTCTCTCGCACACCATGAAGTCTTTGAGCGAATTGTTGACGCCCGCATTAGTGATATCGTCCAGCTTTCCGCCAATCAGAGTGGCTTCGTTCCGGGCTGTAGCACCATCGACGCCATACATGCCGCCCGCCTATTACTGGAACACCGTGAGAAGCGAAAGCCCGTGCATGTAGCCTTCTTAGATCTGTAGAAGGCATTCGATCTTGCGCCGCATGATATTATGTGGTACGTCTCGAGGGAGGATGACATGCCCGAAGAACTAATTGAGTGAGGGCGCATTCTTTACTCATGCCCAGGGAGCCAAGTTCGTGCACCAGCAGGTGTCTCAATGGACTTACATCAAGGTTCTGCGCTTTCCCCAATCCTTTTGGTTGTCGTCATGAATGCCATCTCACGCGACCTCCAGAAAGAAATGTCTCGGGCTCAACTTTACGCTAATCATGCGATGCTTGCTTGTGAAGATAAGAACGCACTGCAACAGCAGGTGCAGCTTGAGCTGATCGCCTGGCGAAGTTTGGAGTCGGGTCAGTAAGACCGAGTATCTGACAACCGATCCAAATGAGCCCGGCTCTAAGATCGATGACACGGTGCTTAACGCGCAGAAACATTCAAGTATCACGGATCAGCAATTGCATTCGGTGGCAGTCTAAACTCGGAAGTAAGCGCACGACTTAGTGCCGCATGGTCTGAAAGGCGGTCCAAGTCAAGGTTCTATCGTACTGTGATCCGACCGGTCGCGTACGGGTGCTGGCCCGCGAGCAAAGAAGATGGAGCTCGCCTTGATGTGATGGAGATGAGATTTTGCGCTAGACTGCGGGCATTTGTAACGGTGTCGTGCGCAAGAAGTACGTTGTAGCCCTCATCGCAGAGAAAGTGCGTGAAACGCGCCTTGATGTTACGGACGCCTAATTTGCGCGAAGGCTGACACAGTCCGTAAAACTGGTCTTCGACTTGAGACATGGAAAGCGACGAAAAGGGCGTCCCAAAAAACGCTGGCTCGACACGCTGCATACCGACCTGAAAATAGACAGCATTCTCCCCAATCAGGTATTCAATCGAGAAAAGTGGCGTAGTTATGTCAAAAGGGACCCTGCTATCAAGCGGGACAAACGCTGAAGAAGAAAAGACAGTGAAGAGCAAATAGTGTGCCACTCGTGAGAAAACAAATGGGTCCAGGTCAACTTTTCAAGAGTCATGAATTCGATCTCTATCTAACCAGAAACCACAGCTACTTCAATCCTGATTCTAATGTCTCTTCTTGAGAAGCTCTAAAATCTGCTGAAATTTCAATTTCATCTCTGAAAGTGCAGCTGTTCGTTAGTTACATTAGACGATGTAACACCGATCTTTCTAGGTGATCAAAGCACTCTGTGCTGTTCGACACGCCCATCATAGTGACTGTGACAAGAAAATCAAAAAGGATCCTTTAGAGAGGTCTGCATCAAGCGCAAAGACTTTTAACCGGATGTTCACAGTTGGCGACAAAGCAATTGAGTCAGGCGATACGGAATGTCGCGCCAGAGACCCACCGTGCTCCACTGCTAAACGCTAAACGATCAAAAGAAGTTCTGTCTTGAAGGTGGCTGAATCAGGGAATAGTAGTTCTCTGACACTGGAACGCGCTTCAACGGTAGCGCAACTTAGTCGCTCTCGCCACTCCCCCCGTTCCTCCGAAATTTCTCATTCGCAGCTCTTGCATATAGCCAACATTTCTAATGATTCTTCTTTACGTAGGTACTCGACGAGCTCGTCCTATAGCACGAAACCCAAAGTCGTCCCATTCGTGACGATTCATATGTGCACATCTAATACATATGCACATTGAGCAGCCTGTAGCGCAATTCGTCCCGAAGTCTCCCACACTATTTATTTTCTGAACTCACTCGTTCACTTTCTGAATCCAGAGCGCTGGTGGCCTCGTCCAGAAGTAGAATCTTGGGGTCCCGAACCAGCGCCCGCGCTATGGCGATACGTTGCTTCTGTCCTCCTGAGAGTTGCGTGCCTCTTTCACCGACCTAAAAAGACAACGCTCCAGTTACAATGTGTGAGCTCCTTAACTATATTCTGTTAAAAACTAAGTGCACAACTGAGCATCATAGTTAAGAAATATATCAGTTTCCCCGCCAAGAGGACATCACAACAAGCCATGTCCTCTATGATTCATACTCACTACTAGTACCTCCTGCTAACGCTAGGCTTATTCCTCTCACCGTTTAATTGCTTTTCTGAAAGCTTATGAAACTGAAGTTTTGTGATTTTTATCCCTTTGCCTTTCAGCCGCTACCGACTGTGTATCAGTGCGAACGGTGTGGGGTGTGTGAAGAGGCGTGGACTGAGGTGAAGCCGGGGTAGCACTTTCCACCCATGATGCCGATCGGAGGCAGCAACACAGAGAGATGACAACTGAGAGATGACTGGTAGAGATGACAACTTTGGTTGCTCTCCAGTCAGGGCAGAACGTTGGTTGGGGAATCCCTAACAGGGGGGGGGGTCGTAATGAGTGCGGTAGTAATGACGAGCAGCGCAAAGGTTTCAGTGTGCTGAGTCCTGTACAGCGAAATTTGCTTTGTAGAAAACTCGGATTTGAAAAAAAATAGCATAGAACTTTCATTCATCAAGATAATGCGAAATAAGTGGAAATATTAATAAGTCGATATCATCTCGTAAGTGATAAAAAGTACAACTCATAATTCGCTGCGGTTGATGGGGGCGTGTCCGCAATCGCGCTTGGCGCTGAGCCAACCTGTTTTTTTTCGACAAACGACCGGACTACATATCGTTCGTATCAGACGTATTCCAGCAGTTGGTCTCCTTTATCGGAATCAGCAATTGGCGAAGCACGAATCTGGCGGCGTCGACAGGGACACTCTTCATCATACGCAACGACTGTAAACAAGTGCCCAAGTTCGCCATGGACCTCCCTGAATAATATAGACATATTTGCTCGCGTGGACAGACATTACGCACAAATTGCACCATCCCATCACCACTGCGCGGACCTCAATGCGCGGCGCATCCAAAGTTAGCATGTTCGGCGCTGAATAAACCACACCCTGCTCCTGCTCCACCACAGGAGACGTTCTACATGTATTTCTGGTTAATCGAACCCGCTCGCTTGAAACGATACACAGAAAACGGATTTTCAAGCAGCTCGGAGTGTTCCTCAATAAATCCCCAACGCAAATTATCTCATGAATCCCGGGAACTTCAGGAAGAGTTCAAGTAGTTTTTGGAAAGAGAAAATCTGCCACAGTTCGACACTGGTTTCAGATTCCCAAACTATTGAGGTTCAAAGGAAATATCTTGGTTCAAACCTATAAAATCCGCGCTGCAAACTATCCAAAAAGGTGCGCTCCCCAACTACTCCCCAACGCAAATTTCTCTATGAATTCGGCGACCTTCATGAACATTTCAGTATGTTTTGGAAACCTCAAATCTTTAACCATATGACTGCATTCTTTTCTTTCTCACAGGCGCCTTTGAGGAATTTATGGCCCTTCAAAGACACCCTACTTTCTTGAAAACTCGCGCTCCAATCCGACCACCTGCATCTATTCCTACAACGTCCGCGCCACGCGTGTTAACCGGCCGCTTCTGGTATTTTGCCAATATTTGGTGATTCATGCTTCCATCCAATCCATCCGATCCAACGACCGTTCTTATTGTTTTCCAATTTGAAGAAAGGGTTTGAATTTCAAACCCTTTCGGTTTCCAACTTTTGTTTTTTTTTGGTTTTCTAATGAAGAGATTCTCCCCAAGTGGTCGGCCAAGCGATTAATCCGTACCAAGACGTTGTTCGCCATTTCAGAGTTTCTGTTTCTTGTTTCTACTAATTCCGCTTCTTTCTTAAATCGACATATACGTTGTACTGACCACTGTTTCGACTTTTTTTTCAAGTTGTCAAGCATGATTGCGCACTTATTGTTAGGCTTCGTAGGCTGGGGTGGGGGGGGGTGGGGAAGGAGGATCAGATCGCTAATTTCACATACTCGCACTCATTCACAAAAGTTGATAGGTATTTCTCCAAATTTTGAGTGGTATCACTTTATGCCTATACAACTTAGAGCCGTCATGCCTAGCTCGAGCTTAAGAAAACAAACAGCAAAAACTCCCCTTTTTAACTGTTCGTTTTTTTAAGGGGGGGGGGTCGTACCCAACCCACCAAAAAAGGGGGGTCGTACGGGCTCGACCAAAATCCCCAAGTAATGCTATGCCCTGTCTCCAATTCGCAACCATTCAACGGCTCTTTTTGCTGAGATAATGACAGTTCTTACATCTCCACTGTCGACCTTGACACAGTACACAATATCCAGAATTTTCTCTTACCTATTCTTTTCATACCACTGCGACGTTCTTCTCTCATTCCACGGCACCTTTGGATGCTGCCTTAGTCAGGAGACCACTAGACAAAACATCTCAGGGCACATTATTATTTGGGGATTTTTGTCGAGTAGTTGAGTACGTATCCTCGTCATCCGGGCAGTTGATTAGAGCGGTCGTCAACGGGCCGCAGATGCGGCTGCAGCAGCGACCGCGTGCGTAGGAACTATTTGCTTTTTCAGGCCTAATTTAGTCATTTTTCCCCTACTTTTCGCTGCTTTTGGCTGCTTTTTCCCAGATTAGGAGTTCCTTGTCTTGACAAGGTGAATTATCATTGGAATTTTTATAACATTTGCGACCAATTACACGATTAGACAAACAATTAGACAAATGCCTGAGAAAAATAAAATAAATATAATAAAATATGACACCATCACGAGAGAGAATAAAAAAGTTCCCGAGTTTAAACTTCATATAGACAATAACGTAAATAATCTTGAAAAAAAGGAACTACAGTGAGAGTTGGGGAGGAAATTGCTAAATTAGGGTGGAAACAGAGCTGATCGGCGGGGTCGTGATGCGCTGCATCCGCGTTGCGACCCCTGGGGTCGGCTGATCAACTGCCCGGGTGACGACGATACGACCCACCTCCCCCCTTTTCAGTGGATTGGCACGAATCCCTGGTTCGTCCCTCTTGATCGAGCTGTCGAGCGTGGAGGAGGGGGGTGTACAGCACATGTGAAGAGGGGAAAACCGCGGGAAAAATACGACCCATTCTCTACCATTTCCCCCAACTCCTACCAGTTTTTCCGGGGAATCTCCTACTTTCACTCAAAAGTTTTGCTGTCAAGCAGGGGGAGAGAGAGGAGGGGTATATCCTACACATGAAAAAGGAAAAATCGAAGAATCAACCTGAAGAAAAGTCAAAAGAACCTTCTAGTTCAGAAGGGAAATATGACTTCCCCTCCCAGCAACAAACAAATACGACTTCCCACTTTATAACTTCCAGAGAACAAGAAGAAGCAACTATCAAAGTGAAGTTTTCTCAGCCCTAATACGACCCTATAAGCCTGAAGACACAACGAACGTTCAGCTGCGAGGTGTGTCCTTGGCATGTTTGGGGCTAACGGACCCCCAGCTGTCAATGCGTAGCGTTTTCCCGTCCGAACACGCGCGAGGATGGGGATCTAAGACCGTGGGACGGGCTGATTAGTCCATACTTCGCCTGAACTGCAGGCACGCTGCACACCACTGCCATATCCCAATCCCATCTATAATCTATCGGCCGTCTGCGCGACGCATATCGCGCCCGGTGCTTGCGGCACTTTGCCAAGTGTTATAGTTTGCGCTTTCGAATAGACTGAAACGCAAACTCCTGGTGCGGATGACAACTGAGGCGTTCTTCATGCCGCAAACTCCGAGTCAGATGATGGCGAATGCTAGATTGAAAAACAACTATATTGTTTGTGCTCCCTCGAGAGCCGCGTAATTACAATAAACATAAGACTGAAAACTGCTCAAACGTCCTACTCGTTGATCCGAACCTTCTAATGGCTTTGGAGCCAGAATCGCGCCGATCAAAAACTTTGCACGGGTTTTTGACTAATTTACATTGTTCCATTTACATTGACATCGGTTGCCCTACATAGCACTATTCATCATCTGACTCAGAGTTTACAGCATTATCAACGCCTCCATTGTCAATCACATGAGGAGTTTGCGTTCTAACCTATTCAAAAGCGCAAACTGCAAGACTTGGCAGCGGGGGTGCAGCACCGTTCTGCGAAACTCATAGGGCGCTCGCACTTGGCCGCTGGGGGGAGGGTCATAAACGCAGGGTTGGTGAGCACCAACCAGCAAAATGTGTCATCGCTGAGTTTGACTGAGCGGACGAGGGATGGGCTCGGATGGGCTCGGATGTGCAAAATATTGAAATAAATAATTAGCAATATTAACAGTTCGTAGCAGCAGCATGAACTCTTGAGTACGTATATGACTAAATAATACATCTCAGACAGACTCGTGCGTATAATTCTTTTCATGCCCTAAACAAACATCTGCTGGCATATACAGAAATCAGAAGTTACACCTTTCCACCACCTCTGCAGACGAGACCTCTCCACCACCTGAGCAGATGTGATGCCCGGCGCACACTCTCATCGATTGATGGTAACCAAGCTATGCTTTCACGTAATTCAAGGAGAAAATGTGTCTCAAAGGCATATTAGAGTTCACGAATGAATATCCTAACAATGCCACAGAAGGAGTTTAGTTTCGAGTGGGTCAGAATGACACCTAAGAGGAAGCCATGTATAGAGGGGGGGGGGCAGAAAAAAAGTCACTTCGACCGAGTCAGATATCAGCAAAGTTTTCGCAGCGCAGACAGAAGACGTGGATACGAGTACCAGGGCGGAAGATACCGAAGATTTTCCTCGATAAGCAGGAGCAGGCTCTCGCCCATCACCTTCATGTACACCAAAATATGAAGTCATCTCCAGTCGCAGCCTGACTGGAGAAGATCTTTGGGATTCACATCACCTCCAAACAGCTGCGAAACTTCTAGTATGGAGTCACCCATGGACAGCTACCTGGAGACCAGTACTCTTGATATGAAAGACTTCCAACATCGAGCAGCTCCGACAACTCGCCACGGTCTAGGACATCATCTTCACTGCAGTCGCCAAGGTGCGGGTTGATGGTATGGATCGGACGTACCTGGAATGGAAAGACCGATATTTTCTTCGTGGACTCCGGACTGAAGGTGAGCGCTGGCGGTTACATCTAGCAGTCGAGAAGATATCCTCCTCACATCTCGTCGCCCACACTTTTTTGGAAACTTAGTACTGCTATAGCACTGGGTGCCACCACACGGAATTGAAGGGCGTTGGAGAAACTCTCGCCTACTTGGAATTTAAGGGGGCTGAGTACCTAAAGAAGATGGAATACTTGAGTAGGTCACCTGACTCGAATTCCCTCAGTCAGGGTTTGGGCTGAGTTCAATAGGGTGGTCTACGGTAGCGAAGAAATCGACTATCTCGCTGAACTCAGGCACCACATCGCGGTCGCGTGCCAGAATCTCTCGATGGCGCTCGCAGGGGGCTGTGACGAAGTGTTATGATAGTATTTGATGTGCCCTTTAATATGCTGGTAGAAACCACCGATCAGAATTTAATAAACTGTAACTTATAGCGCCTCTAAAGTCAATGAAGAAAAGTGATTTTTTGCTCTCCACTGTCACAGGGGTGACTAGAGAAAACTAGCGAGCATTATTTTGCATTTGATTTATAATGATGTTATCATTGTTGTTGTTTTGTTTAATTTATTATATAAATGTTTGTCAGCTTGAAATGAAGCATGAGCGCAAGCCTGCAAGAACACACATGTTGAAGGTCGAGATAAAGAAGAGCAATCATCAAGGAGAAGATCCACCACCGATGCGATAAGATACTAGTTGATAAGATTGCAGCTCATATTTAAGGCTTCTTGAGTAGGAATAAACACTTTTATCAGCTGTACTCTTCCGACCGGACACCCCCTCCCACCCTCCCCGCCCTGTACATATTGGGTCGGCCCATAAGCAAGGGCGTTTTTTTCTCCGACTCGAAATATCGCGCTGAAGAAGAGAAGTTGTACCATTGAAGTTTTATACCGTTTTATACCGAATTCCTTGCCCTACACAATGTCTTCGTAGTTTTCTTGAAGTTTTTCTTTCAACTAGTATTTAAGTGCCTAAACTGGAGTGTCAGGTTGACGAAATTGAGCACTTTCGACAGCCTCTCTTTTATACCTCTAATTGAAAAGTTAAAACGGCATGGGCCCAGCTGCTAAGTATATGGCTAATAGCTATGCTTCTCAGGAATGTTAACAATACTTATTCGAAGATTTCAGTTTCGACCTCACAAACAAGCGTCGAACCTAATGCCCTATTCTGTACAACTGAGAGCTTACGAAATTACCTTATCAACTGAACATGAAAATTATGCCAAAGATTGAGGGATCGCTAGAGGTCATAGAATGCATCCTTATCATTATCAACCACCGCCCTAAATTGATGCTAGACGTTCGAAAATAAACGAGGTAGGTTCTGCAACAAGTCTCTCTCCAAGAGGCCCCCACGCGATGCTCTTCTACAAAGTCCGAATTCTTAACTCTTGAACGCTTGAACCCATTTCGAGCTGTCTGAGACGCATCTTTCTTTGGGCCATATATACCACAAGGTTTGAGCTTTCTGTAGATCAAGAGCTGAGATAAAATTCGAAAAGTAGTTGTCAAAAAGTCAGTTTGAGTCGACCCGCCTTCCCTTTCAATGAAATAAAAGTCGACACAAGTCGGAAAGTAGTAAGGAGGCAATTGGGCTATTTTATAGGAAAAATGTCTATCAAACAGGGTAGAACATATTGGGAACAATTTCATTTTCCATATAAAAATTTAAATAAAATACCTTCTAAACTAGCAGGTTTCAGAAAAACTGTGGCCTTTGGATAGAAGGAAGTTTGAGCGTTCTGAAGCCGTTTTGGATTTTGCACAAGATTGCGTTCGGAAGAAGTTATTCTCGTCTGAATCACAAACCCGCTTGCGATTTACCACT